AAGTTATCTGTGTATTTTTTGTTCTCCAGTAGTCTTACAAATCCAATCATCTATGGGATAATGAATCCGCAGTTTAAACAGGCCTTCAAAAAGGCATTCAGTTGTGGTCGTTATGGCAGCGGTAATGAAGATCAGAGTCATACAAGAGTTGCAACTGTAATGATACAGCCGTGGAGCAATGACACTTGATGACGTTTGGCAGGAAGATCTATCATTTGAAGCTTTAGTACAATATTTTTTGTTTATTTTCAAACCTTTTTTCAAGAAAAGATGGGTTGATGCTGGCTTCGTTCTGTTAAGTTTACGTGTCTTCCGACTTGCCTCGGTCCATGAAAAAAAAAATAGACTTTGGATGTTAGAAATATTTTTAATTGCTTTCGAAAGAATCCAGGATTGCACAGGTATTTCTTTACTTCGTTCTATGATTGTTACCGTAAACTCGTACCACCCTCTCAACCAATAAGAGGCAAAAGTAACACCGATCAAGACGTGGTCACTCGCGTTTTCCCGCGCTTTAGACAGTTTGGTTAGTTTTATTTTGAGTTCTCATTGATCACATTAGCCCGGCCGGTCCGGCCTCTTTAATATCCACCGATGGCCACCTCCACATCAATGAATAATAGTTAATTTGAAAATGTAGTTTCAGACGTTTGAGTGACATGGGAACACATTAATCAGAAATTAATAATCTGATTGTACGTTGAAGAGGTTCGCGTGGCATCATGGAATTGTCGAATTATGTAAGCGTTTGGAAAATTAAGTCATTAGATCGGTCGGTCTTATTTCTTATATATGTTTCTTAACTGAATGTGTTGTAATTATCATTTCCAACCCCATTTAGAATATAATTACAATCATGATTTTTTTCTTTGTGATTAATAGCATAACCAGGTTAGTTAACCCCTTCCTCGGGGTACTGTGCTGCTGCCACATATTTTATGGCCACATCAGTTTTTTTGTTTTTTTTCGTTGGTTTTTAGTATCTGGCGTAGCACAGTTTCTCTTCTTAGAAATTTTAGTTTCACTGTATACATATTAAGATTTATCAGGATACGTTTACCAAAAGACTGACCGACTAATCCTAAGTAAACTTTTCACATTTTGTGGGTAATTATTGTCATCAACTAAGTTGATAACGTAAATTGGCCACCGCAGAGTTTCGAGCGGTAGCCCATCGCCAATCGTTCTCTCAGTTGAGAACACTAAATTACCCTGTTATACTCTCCCACCGACGCAGCACAACGTGCGGAGAGTGTAATCAGAATGATATCTTGACATTTCTGCCTCACTGACCTAAAAAGCACTTTAAAATTCTGTTAAAATTTAACCCAAGGATATGTTTATATCATATGCCAAAATAGAATGACGTAAACAAAATCCATCGAAGGGCCCGATGAGAGAAGCAAGGGCGATGGCTACGGCCGGCTAACTTTGCTGAAATTTGTCTCCGTGTAGAAAAAAAAAGGCGTCCTGATCAGCCACAGCGTTGAAAAAATATTCTCGTTGGGTTTTATTTGCCATTGGTACGACAGTAGCAAGGCCGAAGGCTGTGCCTTGTAAGACATGGGTCTCAATTATCGGGAGCTTTAATCAAGTAGATTTCAAAAATAAGAAAAATGATTCAATGTTTCTACAAAAGAAATCGGGTATTTTTTTTTTTTTTTTTTTAAAGAGAAAGAAGTTTAGTGGGGTAGTTTGAGTTTTATTACCCTACATTTCTTAACGGCTATGGATGAGTAACAAGTCCATATGCGTTCTGTCGATTGGGCATGCTTAACGTTTTTCAATGTACACCTCGTTGCGTGAAAACAATTTCAAGAAAAACAATATTAAGCGTTGCTTTATTTTGCTCAAAGTGTAAAAAATCCTAACGAGTGTTGAGTTTTAGCGCAGATTTTATATTTTTGAGATAGGTAAGGGTCACGTGCTGTTTTTTTGGTAAGAATACAAACAAGAGAGATCTGTAGCCAAGTACAAACATACTGATGAGTATCACTATTTGCAGGAAATCGAGAGTTTTCAGAGACGCAATGTAATTTCTGCTGTTAGTAAATCTTAACTTTACGCAAAGGAATAAAAGTGTTCTAGCATACTCGAATGACAGAATCCAATTCATACATTCGTTAAGAGTAAAGCTAGGTTACTTGTTGTTTTTCATTCACTTAACCTACAATATTGGTTTTTCTTCTATTGGCACGTTAGTTATTAAACAAAAAAGGGTTATATTCTTTGGCATAAACATGTTTTGGGACCGACTCGGAGTCATTTTTGCCCGATCCGTTACGCGAGGAATAAAATGACTCTGAGAAGCGCTCCTAAACGTAATTATGCCCAAGAACGAAGCACTGCTATCATCAATTTAGAGGGAGTTGAATAAAATAAAAAAAACTCAGTGACAACTAAACATTTTGAACGACCACGCGAGCGTACGAGCGGGCGTGTACACACTTTACCCCGCCAAATTTCCATTTTAACTCGCACGATTCACTATAACTCCCAACAAAGAGATGGCAATTAAGATTTAATTTTCTTTGGATGAGAAATCCTCAACCAACGAGACTAAAACATCTCCATATAGTCCTTATACCAGAAGAAATTCCTCTCAACAGATACGAAGGAGTAAATGGTGATAAAAATGTTAGTATTCTTACGGTTCAGTATACGAGGGAACCTGAGCCTGAGGTTTAACGAAAGAGTATGGCGTGTACACTTATGCAAACGGAGATAGATATGTAGGGTGCTAAAAAATGGCCGGAAACACGGCATATTTTCTTTATATTCATATTTCTCAAGTAAACTGCAATTGTAATATTCATAAGCCCTCCACGCCTGAAAAAGAGGTCAACCGAAAAGAAAACACCGTGGGAGAGATTGCCAAAAGGCGACAGATTCGATAGTCTATATGCATGCTCAGATACCGATCTTGGCAAAGTACTAGTCCATTACGTAATGTTTTGCGACAAAGAAAATAGGCATCTTTCGACTAAGATTTATCGCGTTTACTTCGGTATTAATTTCCTAAGATTTGCTTGACTGTTAAACAATTTTTTGCCCTTTATAGTGCCTGTTGAAAAAAATTCATAGGACCGAATTTGAGATAGAGGAAGGAAACACAAAATTGCAAATAGCGAGGAAACTGCCTTCATAACCCTATTTTTTCGGCATTTAAATGATCTGCAGGACGATTTTCACAAATTTGTGAAAATTTTGAGAGATTTCACCGAAGCAAATTAAAGAAAACCAAAGGAAAAGCCAAATTATGGCTGGCGAGCGCCTCCCTTCGTGGAACCTCAACTAAATAGCGAAAATCATTTTGACAATATTTACTACAGCAAACGATAGTCTCAACCTTGCTCATCGTCCTTTTGATGGCTTTTAGTGAACTTAAAAAGCGAAAAAAAAAATTTCAAGAATACAAACAAGAGATCTGGAGAGCGCAAAAAAACTATTAGTCTTTTTTCGTCTCTTTTTCGAGTAAGAGTAAATTTTTATAATGGGTTTCACTAATTGTAAGAAATCGATGTTTCTGCATGCCTTTTACCAGCTTTCAGCTGTTAGTAGAGAAGAGGTTAAAAGGGTTTTTTTACTTACCGTGAATAGAAAAGTTGCTTTTTCCTTTTGCTTTTGTTTTTAACTAAAACTTTACTCTTCAGACGACAGAATAACCGGAAGTGTTTATGAAACAAAGAACCTAAATTAGCGTAATGGCTCTCTTGTGTCTGTAAGCTTTGAATTTAATAAAGTCGTATTTAAGTCAACTTTCATACTGGAATCTTAGCAATCATTCCCTTTTGCTGAAGTAGCTAAGGAAAAGCTAATAGACGATTTTAATTTTACAATAAATAGGTAAAAATGGTTCAGTTAACAGGTTAAGTAAATGTGTTTCGAATAATGGCTGTCTTGTGTATATGAGTTTTGATTTCGATAAAGCCGTATTGAAGTCGACCTTCATACAGGAACCTTAGCTGTCATTCTCTTTTGCTGAAGTTGCTCAGACTAAGGAATAACTAGTATATGATTACGACAAAAATTGACTTGACAATGATTGAGAAGTAATGACCCTCTTGTGGTGATGTATTTCGAATTCAATAAAGCCGTATTTTAGTCAATTTTCAGGCCTAAATATCAGCAAACACTTCTTTTGCTTAAGTGGCTCAGACTAAGAAAAAACTAACTAATGATAAAAGTAAAGAACGAATTTCGACAACAGACTAGTAATAATGGCTCTCAAAACAGATTGACACAAGGGGCTCGATAAAGCCGTATTGAAGTCGACCTTCACACAGGAACCTTAGCTGTCATTCTCTTTTGCTGAAGTTGCTCAGACTAAGGAATAACTAGTAAATGATTACGACAAAAATTGACTTGACAATGATTGAGAAGTAATGACCCTCTTGTGGTAATGTATTTTGAATTCAATAAAGCCGTATCCAAATCGACTTTCAAACGAAAATCTTACAAGCATCCCATACGCTGCAATAGCCTCATGATTACAGAGTCAGTCAATGTGGAGCCAGTAGAATTTGAAAAAGTTCTCAACCAGGTTTTTCTCTGAGGTTCAAAGATTTTCTGACATTCCTGCCTCACTGAACTTAAAAGAACGTGAGTATTCTTTTAGATAAGAACGAATTTTAAAAAAATTGCCTCAAAGATTTGTTGACAACGAAGATACAAAACCCATCAAATTCACCAATCCTGAGATTTAGTGGGGCTCCATTTAGAGAAGTCTCCTTTCATAAAAAGGGAAAAAAAACAGAAACAGAAATATGAATATATTCTTGACGGTTTTTTCCATTGTCGGGAAGACTGGGTCTCAACTACTCGGCACTCAAATCAAGAAGATTTAGAAAATAAGAAGAAATGATCAAATGTTTCTAGGAGAGGTATCAGGTGTTCTTTTTTCTCCCTTCAATAGAAAGTCGTTTAATGGGGTACATGGATTTTTATTTCAGTCTAGAATCCTCCAATCAGTGCATATTAAAGCTTGAGTCACGACGAAGATGTCTCAAACAACTTCACAAGATCGTGTAACTCGCTCGAGAGCAGAAATTTCGTTAGAGGTAACCTTCGCCACTCTGGTTTGCCTCACTTCCGTAATTGGTAATGTGCTGGTTGTTTATGTTGTAAATAAATACTCTGAGATGCAAACCATCACCAACATTCTCATTCGCAATCTTGCACTGACTGATATTATCATGGCGACCCTTAACATGCCGTTCTGGATAACGAGCTTGTACTCGGGAAAATGGAATTTGAGCCATGAATGGTGTGAAGTTTCTGCATCAGCACAACTTACTATGGTTTTGTCCTCCTTGTTCATAATGGGCTTAATTGCCCTGAACAGATACTTGAAAGTCGTCAAGCGATCCTTGTATATCAAGTTCTTCCCTAGCAAAAGAGTTGCTTGGTTGTACTGTGGTCTCGTTTGGCTGGTTTCTGTGCTATTCGCCACACCTCCGTTGTACGGATGGGGAAAAATGAAGTTCGACTCGGACTTTTTCGTTTGCACATTCAACTGGAAGCAAAGACACGTTTCTTTTGTCATAGTGCTTTCAGGGTTCTTCTACGTGACAATGTTTGCAATATTTTACACCTATTGGAAAATTTACCAAACGGTGAAAGAAAGCACAGATAATGTCCACGCCAATGTCGTACAAAATGGCGTCGGCGCACCGAAATTCCATCGTACTGACATCCATGTTTTGAAGAGTTCTTTGACAGCGGTTTGTTTTTTTTTAATTACATGGATTCCTAAAGCCTTGTGTAGTTTTATAATAATTGGTGGAGGCCACATTCCACGTGAAGTGACTAAGGTATCTGCGTATTTGTTGTTCACCAGTAGTCTTGTAAATCCAATCATCTATGGGATAATGAATCCGCAGTTTAAAAAGGCCTTCAAAAAGGCATTCAGTTGTGGTCGTTATGGCAACGGAAATGAAGATCCGAGTCATGCAAGAGTTGTAGCTGTAATGATACATCCGAGGAGCAATAAAACTTGATGATGTTTGGCATGAAGATCTATCATTTAAAGCTTTAATACAATCCTTTTTTTTTCCGAACCTTTTTTTTCCGGAAAAGACGGGTTTATACTAGCTTTGTTCTGTTCTTACGCGTCGACTTGCCTCGGTCCAGTAAAAGACAAAAACAGACATGGGATAGTAGAAACATTTTTAGTTTCCTGTCGAAAGTATTCGGGATTGTAGAGGTTTTTCTTTATATTGCTTTGTGATTGGTCCCGTAAACTTGCACTACCCTCTCGACCAATCAGAGGCAAAAATAAATCCAATCAGGACTTGATCACTCGCGTTTTGCCAAGCTTTAGACAGTTTGGTTAGTTTTATTTTGAGTTCTCATTGATTATATTAGTTCGGCCGGTCCGGTCTCTTTAGCATCTACCATTAGCCCCCTCCACTTCGGTAAATAATCATTAATTGACCTACGATTAAAAATGAAATTTCTGACGTTTGAGTGACATGGGAACAAACTAGTCAGAAATTAATATTCTGATGGCACGTTGAAGAGGTTCGCGTGGCATCATGGCAGTGTCGAATTATGTAAGCGTTTCGCTGAAAATTAAGTCTTTTGAGGTCGGTCAGTCTTGTATTTCACCACTTTTCTATTTGAATGTGTTGTAATTATCATTTCCAACCCAATTTAGAATATGATCACAATCATGATTTTTTTTTCTTTGTGATTAATAGTGTAACCATTTAGTTTACCCTTTCCTCGGGGTACTGTGCTGCTGCCTTGATGAGGAATACGTCCAACAGATTTTTCTGGCCACATTTAAAGAGTACTTTTATCGGTTGTGCTTCGTATCTGGCCCAGCACAGGTTCCTTTCTTAGAAACTAAAGTTTCACCTTACACATATTAAGATTGCATCAGGATGCGTTCACCAAAAGACTGACTGACTAATCCTAACTAAACTTTTCACACTGTATGGGTGATTTAGTGTTATCAACTGAGTCGATAGCGTAAATTGGCCACCGTAAAGAGTTTTAAGGCTGACGTTAGCCCTCCGCCAATCGCTTTCTCAACTGATAACACTAACTTACCCTGTTACTCTCCCACCGACGCAGCACCATTGTTTGTTTAGGAAGTTATCCCCTTTTCACACTGAATTTCACTTGTGGTGAGTGTAATCAGAATGATATCTTGACATTTCTGCCTCACTGACCTAAAAAGCACTTGAGAATTCTGTTAAAATTTAAACCAAGGATATGTTTATACCATACGCCAAAAAGGAACGCCATAAAGAAAATCCATTGAAGGACCCGATGAGAGAAGCAAGGGAGATGGCGGCGGCGGCGAACTTAACTGAAATTTGTCTCCGTGTAGAAAAAAAAAAGGTGTCAAGATCAGCCACTACATTTAAAATATAGTCTTATTGGTTTTATTTGCCATTAGCACGACAGTAGCAAGGCCGAAGGCTGTGCTTTGCAAGACATGGGTCTCAATTATCCGAAGCTTTAATCAAGTAGATTTCAAAAATAGGAAAAAATGATTCAATGTATCTACAAGAGAAATCGTGTACTTTTTTTTTGGTAAGAGAGAGAAGTTAGTGGGGTAGCTGGAGTTTTATTATCCTTTAACAAACATACATTTCTTAACGGTTGTGGATGGAAAACAAGTCCATATGTGTTCTGTCAAGTGGGCGCGCTAAACATTATCAATCTGCACCTCGTTACGTGCAAACAGTTACAAGAAAAACAACATTCCGCGTTGCTTTATTCTGCTAAAAGTGTGCAAAATCATTATGAGTGTTGAGTTTTAGCGCATTTTTTATAAGTTGAGGATAGGTCAGGGTCGCGTGCCGTTTTTTGGTAAGAATAAAAACGAGAGAGATCTGGGGCCTGGTGCAAACATACTTATAACTCTTGCATTTTTTATTGCAAACTTAAACTAATTGAGTGTATCTGATGAGTATCACTATTTGCAAGAAATCGAGAGTTTTTAGTGACGCAATGTAAATTCTGCTGCTAATAAATCTTGACTTTACGGAAAGGAATAAAAGTGTTCTAGCATGCGCAACTAACAGAATGCAATTCATACATTTGTTAAGGGTAAAGCAAGGAGACTTTCATTCACTCAGTCTACAATGCTGGTTTTTCTTCTATTGGTGCGTTAGTTATTAAACCAAAAAAGTTTATATTCTTGGGCATCAATATGTTTTGGGACCTACTCGGAGTTTTTCCCGATGCGTTAGGCGATGGATAAATTAATCTGAGAAGCGCTCCTAAACATAATTATGCCCAAGAACGTAGCACTATTATTATCACTTGGGATGGAATTGAAGAAAGAAAAAAAAATTGACAACTACACAGTTCGAACGACCACGCGAGCGGGCGTAAACATGTTTTACCCTGCCAAATTTCCATTTTAAACCCGCACGATTCGCTGCAACTCCCAACAAAAGTGATGGCAATTAAGATTTAATTTTCTTTGGATGAGAAATTCTCAACCAGTGAGGCTCAAACATCTCCGTATAGTCCTAATTCCAGAATGAATTCCTCTCAACAGACACGAAGGAGAAATTGGTGACGGCGAAAACTCCGGTCGATAAAAATTTTGGTACTCTTACGGCTCAGTAAACGAGGGAACCTGGGCCGGAGGTTTAAGGAGTGGATATGGGATGTATACTTATGCAAACGGAATAGATATGAAGGGTGTTAAAAAATGGCCGGAAACAGTGACAAGGAGAGTACATCCACTACTGCTCTTTCTGAAAGTCAGAAAACCGCAGATACCTAGATTCAAATCAAGCGGGACCATCGTGTATTAAACATCACCCACGGAGATGGCAAAGGAAAGGGCGGAATAAACGTACAATGTCTTGTGGTTAACTAGCATCCTTTAAGAGTCACATCTACAATCCACGACACCACAGTACAAGGAAGCAACTCCTTCACTGGGGAAACACTTGATTTTAATGTATCCGTCTAGGGCAATTAGCTTACACCGATGTGGAAACTTTACACCACTCCTGGCTCAAATTCCACGTTCCCATGTACAAGCTTGCTATCCAGAACGGTGTGTTAAGGGTCGCCATGAGGATATCAGTCAGTACAAGATAATTTTGAATAAAATGTTGGTGACTGTTTGCATCGCGGAGTGTCTATTAACGACAAAAAGAACTAGCACATTACTTATATGGAAGCAAGGCAGATTAGAATGGCGAAGGTTGCCCACAAAGAAATTTTCGCTCTCGAGCGACTAAAAGGATCTTAGGTCTGTCGAGGTCTGTCACTCAAGTTGCAGTAAACATAAAAAGAAACCAAACAAATATTTAAAATTCAAAAGCAAAATCTACCAGAGGTCTGATGCACTGGTATGAGGACGATAAAATTATAATTACCTCTTTAAGCTTCTTTTTTCTAGAGACTCATTTAATCGCATTTCTCAAGCCATTATCAACGATTTATTTCAAGTTCGTATTGTCTCATAACCATGTATTATAGTTATTCGGTACTCTAACGAGAAGATTTAAAAATTTTTAAAAAATTGCGAAAGGAACCAAAGAACTTTGGTATTTATAGTAAAAATATATCTGTATTGTTCTTCTGCGCAGAGGAAAAACTCTCGATGTTTACCGTTTGCCTTTCGCCTGAGCCACCTTTGCCTCTATTGTTCTCTCAGGAAAGTGGTTACATCTATATCTCCTTAGTTGCCCCCGAATCAAATAAATCACTTAAAGAATCATTTACTATCTGTCAGTAGACTACTGAGCTGTCTGTTTAAGGTGAAAAAGGATTCTAAGAGTTTTTACCGAAAATTTACTACTCTAAATGATCGGTGGTAATTAAACCTCGTTGATAATTTCATTTAGCGATCACGATATGTTCCTTCGCTTTGGTTGATTGTTTTGATAACTTTGGTTCTAGTTTGACGACACCCCACTTCATTTTCTCTTTGCCAATGGACATATTTTCCCTTTATCGAATGCACAGTTGATAGCAGACGAAGAAAACCTATTTTTATCGTCCATCTAAGCTTACTTAAATTAATTCATTGTTTTCTGAGCGGCACTGTTTCAAGGGTCTCAATGAGGTGATATGGCTTTTACGGCTAACGGTTGCAATTTTGGCCATTTTAGGGCTAAAATAACGTCATTCCATAGTTGTCTCCGTAATTTTTTTTTTAAAGTCGGATTTTTTTCGATCATCGGTTGAAATTTGTCAATTTTTACGCCAATCTGCTAAATTTTGGCCGTTTTACGGCTATTGGTTAACTCTATTGAGACTCTATTTCCTATGCTCTCCAGATAAAAAATAAATTACTTCTATTGTGAGTCAAATGTTCAAAATTTTCTGAGTCATTTTACTTCTATCATTTCTATTGTTCAAATTCAAAGCTCTTTTAAGTCAAACAGACAGCTGATTCACTGACAAAGGGGGGATGATACCGCAAGCTTTCGTTTTAAGGTGATTTATATGATTGGGACAAAGGAGATCTAGTCGCATTCAAAGAGGAACGTAGACTTTAATTAGGTGGCTGTAACAAACGGAAAAAGCTGAAATGACGTTGTTTCCTTCTGCTGGTTTTCAAATGTTTGAACAGTAGAGGGTAAAGATTTTCCATTACTGAAAAAACGACATTTGTTTTTTATTTTTGCTTTTCCTTTTTCCTACCACTAAAGTTACTCCTCAAGAATCACTAATAGATTATAAGGAAAGTGAATATAAAGATAATTAGGGATAATGGCTCTCTTGAATTCATTGAAACCGTATATAAGTCGACTGTGAAACGGAAATCTTAGCAATCATTCCCTTCCGCTGAGGTAGCTTGATGATTTCAGCAGCTTTGGACATAAACCCAGCAGTAAGTAAAAAGATCTTATCCAGATCTTACACCGAGTTTAAGAGATTCACCGAATTAAAATCGTGAGTATTATATGAGGAAAATAAGTTGCACTATGTTTATTGAAGATACCTGAAGGATGACTATTACGTTAATCCTGAGATTGTAAAGGTCCATGTAGGAAAGTGAAGGCGATGCACT